CTCTGCTCCTATGATGCTGCTTGGCCTGCTGTGTTCATCCAGCCCTGTTACTAATTTTCTTGTTTGTTCTTGGTTTGTGAGCATCATTGTTAAGGCCCAGCATATGTTGCCCACTCCTAACAGCTCTGGAGAAATCAGAGGTGAGCCTCATTCCTGAACTGCTGTAATCTATGTGGGGTAGGTACACCCACATCGCTGTTAGATGGCAAGTTCCGTGGTTTTGACCCAGTGCCACTGAGGAACAGTGACATATTTCCAAGTCAGGATATTGCAAAGCTTGGAGGCTAACTTCTAGGTGGCAGTGCTCCCATGCATCTACTGCCCTTATCCTTCCAGGTGGTCAAGGTCAAAAGTTTGGAAGGTGCTGTGTACGGAGCCTAGATGAATTGCTGCAGTACTGGGGGAAGTGAATGTTTAATGTGGGGAATGGGGTGTCAATCCAGCAGCCAATGCTCCTGTTAGTGTGAAGGGTAAGACTGGTAGGCATAGGGAATGCTGGATGACTAGAGAAATTAAGGTTTTGGTCAAGAAAAAGAAGGAAGTGTATGTGAAGTATAGACACGAGAGATTGAATGAATCCCTAGAAGAGTATAAAGGCAGTAGAAGTATACTTAAGAGGGCAATCAGGAAGGCAAAAAGGGGACGAGAGATAGCTTTGACAATAGAGTTAATGAGAATTCAAACAGGTTCTACAAATACATTACGGACAAAAGAGTAACTAGGGAGAGAATAGGGCCCCTTAAAGATCAGCAAGGTTGCCTGTGTGTGGAACTGCAGGAGATGGGGGAGATACTAAACAAGTATTTTGCATCAGTGCTTACTGTGGAGAATAACATGGAAGATATAGGACATGGGGAAATAAATAGCGACCGTTTGAAAAACGTCCATATTACAGGGGAAGAAGTGCTGGACGGCTTAAAACGCATAAAGGTGAATAAATCTCTGGAATCTGATCAGGTGTACCCTAGGACTCTAATGGGAAACTAGGGAAGTGATTACTGGGCCCCTTACTGAGATATTTGTATCATCAATAGCCGCAGGTGAGGTGCTGGAAGACTGGAGGTTGGCTAACGTGGTGCCACTATTTAAGAAAGGTCGTAAGGAAAAGCCAGGGAACTATAGACCAGTGAGCCAGACATCGGTGGTGGGCAAGTTGTTGGAGGGGATGCTGAGGGACAGGATTTACGTGTTTGGAAAGGCAGGGACTGATTAGGGATAGTCAGCATGGCTTTGTGCGTGGAAAATCATGCCTCACTAACTTAATTGAGTTTTCTGAGGAAGTAATGAAGAGGATTGATGAGAGTAGAGCAGTGGAAGATATGTTCGTCAAGGTTCCTCATGGATGATTGGTTGACAAGGTTAGGTTATATGGAATAGAAGCAGAACTTGCCATTTGGATATAGAACTGGGTCAAAGGTAGAAGACAGAGGGTGTTGACAGAGGGTTGCTATTCAGACTGGAGGCCTGTGACGAGTAGTGTGCCACAAGGGTCAGTGGTGAATCCATTGCTTTTCCTCATTTATATAAATGATTTGGATGTGAACATAGGAAGTATGGTTAGTAAGTTTACGACACCAAAATTGGAGGTGAAGTGAACAGCAAAGAAGGTTACGTCAGAGTGCAATGAGATCTTGATCAGATGGGACAGTGGGCTGAGAATTGATAGATGGAGTTTAATTTAGATAAATGTGAGGTGCTGCATTTTGGAAAGGCACATCAGGGCAGAAGTTATACACTTAATGGTAGGGTGCTGGGTAGTGTTGCTGAACAAAGCAACTTTGGAGTGCAGGTTCATAGTTCCTTGAAAGCGAAGTCGCAGGTCGATAGGATAGTGAAGAAGGTATTTTGTACGCTCGCTTTTATTAGTCAGTGCATTGAGTATCGGAGTTGGGAGGTCATGTTGCGTCTGTACAGGACATTGGTTAAGATACTTTTGGAATACTGTGTGAAATTATGGTCTCTCGGCTAGAGAAAGGATGTTGTGAAACTTTAAAGGGTGCAGAAAAGATTTACAAGGATGTTGCCAGGGTTGGAGGGTTTGAGAAGCTGAATATGCTGGAGCTATTTTCCTGGAGCATCAGGGGTTGGCGGGTAACCTTATAGAAGTTTATAAGATCATGTTGGGCATGGATAGGGTGAATAGACAAAGTCTTTTCCCCAGGGTGGGGGAATCCAAAATTGGAGGGCGTAGGTTTAAGGTGAGAGGGGAAAGATTTAAAAGGGACCTAAGAGGCAGAGTTTTCATGCAAAGGGTGGTGCATGTATGGAATGAGCTGCCAGTGGAAATGGTGAAAGCTGATATAATTACAACATTTGAAAGGCATCTGGATGTGTATATGAACAGGAAGGGTTTAGAGGGATGTGGGCCAAATGCTGGCAAGTGGGACTAGTTTTATTTGGTTTATCTGGTCGGCATGGACAAGTCGGATCAAAGGGTCTGTTTTCATGCTGTATGACTCAATGACTTTCCCTCTACCAGTTATGACCGTCTAATGAGAGAACAGCTGTGTGGTCCAGTAGGACTATGGCAACCAATGAGGCATGCTGTTAGGTGAGGCACTGACGAGAGCTCTCTTGCTCAAGGAGCTTTGAGGCATAGGGTTACTTTTATGTGCCCAGGGGTATGCGAAGATTTAATTGGGAATCTCCAACAAAAGGCATGAAAGTGTTCTCCTTTTTCTAGGGCAAACTCTGCCCTTTGAGGCACAGTGTATAGCGTTATCTGGCCTCCTCCACCCCACCCCATCTCCATGGCAGCTGGACTCCTCCATGAATTAAGCAAGCTCTTATCTCAGATTTCTTTTGGCTGCTAGTTACTTCTGTCAGCTCTACATTGATCTGCATGTCTTCATTACTTTGCTCCATATATTTTCCAGTGAATTGGACCAACAGGAGGCTTTCAACTGATCATTTCCATTCTTTGTCTTTATTTTGTGTGCCTAGATCGCTTGGAGACTGAGACTTTCAACGAGGAGGAATTTAAAGACCGTTTTTTTGCAGAGGTAGGAACAATGGGCTCAATGCTTGTTGGGCACTTGAGCAGCGGTTGGGGACGGCATGGCTGACTATTGATTGTGAGTTGCCTGGAGCTCCTCGACTCTGTTATAGGTGATGTGTTCCATCATGTAGCAATTCCTTCCCCATGCCACTTAACCTGTGCAGGTGTTGTATAACCAGAGTGTGCTCAGACTACTTAGCAGGTAGACAACATCTGTGGAGAGAGAGAGTAATGGTTAGGGTCCAATTCTGAAGAAGAATTATACTAGACTGCAAATGTTATCTTTTAAAAATTTATTCATGTGGGATCTGTGACTAGGCCAACATTTATTATTACCCCACCTTAACTGCCTAGAGAGCAGTTACAAGCCAACCACTTTGCCGTGGGTCTGGAGTCACATGTAAGTCAGATAAGGAAAAGGTGGCAAATTTTTGCGACAATCAACAATGGCCAATTTTTATTGAGCTCAAATTTCACTATCTGCCAGGGTGGGATTTGAATCCATGTTCCCTGGTGGTCTGGATTACTTGTCTGGTGATAATACCACTTTACCACCATGGCTGTCCATATAACTCTGTTTCTCTCTCTCCGGAGGTGCTGCCAGACCAGCTGAGTTTCTTCAGCAATCTCTTTCTTTCAAATTTCCACTATCTGCAGTATTTTTCGTTTATTGGAGAGGAATAGTTAATGTTTTGAACTAAATAAAAACTGAAAGCGGATGCTGCAAATCAGAGACAAAAATAGAAATTGCTGGAAAAGCTTGGCAGGTCTGGCAGCATCTATGAAGAGAAATCAGCGTTAACATTTTGGGTCAAAACTCCGTTCTGAGGAATGGTCACTCGACCCGAAACGTTAGCTCTGATTTTTCTCCACAGATGCTGCCAGACCTGCTGAGCTTTTCCAGCAATTTCTATTTTTGCCTTTAATTTTTTTAAGCTATATGTTTCGTGTACCTTGCTCACTTGCTCACAATTGCACTGCACAGAACCTGGCCATTTGGCTCAATGTTTTTGCCAGAGTTTATGTTTCTTATGAATCTTATTTGCTCTGTTTACTTCAGTTCACCATTTCAGCATCATCTTCTACTGCATTTTCCATCATGTACTTATTTAATTTCCACTTAAGTGCATCTGCTCTTCACCTCAGACATTCCATAAGGTCATAAGCTCTACTTTTCTGCATAAGGAAGCTTCTGAATTCCATATTACATGAGATTTTATTTGACTAAGTTTCATATGTATGGACTAGTTTTGAAATCTCCCAAAAGTGGGAGCATCCCCCCTAATTTTATCCAATCAAACCCTTTTATAATTTTAAAAAATGAGAGAACTGCGGATGCTGTAAATCAGGAAACAAAACAGAAATTGCTGGAAAAGCTCAACAGGTCTGGCAGCATCTGTGAAGGAAAAAACAGAGTTAACATTTCAGGTTCTGAGGAAGGGTCACCGGACCCGAAACATTAACTCTGTTTTTTCCTTCACAGATGCTGCCAGACTGCTGAGCTTTTCCAGCAATTTCTGTTTTGTTTTCTTTTATAATTTTAATAGCTTCTAGCATTCTTGTCTGTTCTGGAGGACAAGCCCTAGGCTGTTCAGTTTCCCTGATAGCTGCTTCCTCCCCATTCCACTATCAGCCTTCTAAATCTTTTCTTTAAACTTTCACCAGTACCTCCATATCTTTTTAGCAAAATACAGTCCAAATCTGTCCATAGTACACAAATAAGGTGCCGTAACATATCTTCTTTGCCTTTCAATTCTATTTATCTGTAAGCAAACTCCTCTGCATTGTGATCATATTAACCCTGGAACACTATTGCAAATAGTTTGAGTATCTGTGCCTTTACATTCCCTTTGGATTTCTATCCTGTTCAGACTCCTTTTTCTTTGCTAAGGAGTAAATGCCCTCCTTGCACTTTCTGAAAATGCAGTGTCTCAAACAGATTAAGCATTTCTTTTTCAAAAGGAGAAGGGGGAATGGGTTGCACTTACGCCTCAGGCACAAAACCACAGACCACAAAGCATAGCCAGCCTTGTCCTCTGACTATACTTTGTGCCTGCCGTGTGGGATGGTAATTACAGAGAAGAGCTGCTGAGGTGAAGCCAGGCTGAATTGAATGAAATCTGTGTTGTGTGTACTATCTTCAGAGGGTTTGTAAGAACGTTGAAACATGGGATAGAATGATCAGGTTTCCTTCTCGTCTCCTTGATGATGACAGTAATGATGTGTTCATTTTTCTGTGTTTTTTTGGTGCAATTCAAAATGAAGGGGGATATTAGCATGGTAATTTCCATTTCAAGTATCCTTGGCAAGGTACAGCATGTTGTTAGCGTAAAGCTCCTTCTACAATGTCCCCATCAAATATTCCCAGGACAGAGACAGCACGGGGTTAGATACAGAGTAAAGTTCCTTCTACACTGTCCCCATCACACACTTCTAGGACAGGTACAGCATGGTGTTAGATATAGAGTAAATCTCCCTCTACTCTTTTAAACTGAAAGTAAAGCTCTTTCTTTTCTTTCAAACTGAAAATAAACAATCTGAGGACAAGTAGAGGAATGGATTAGATGTACCATAATGCTCTGTCTGTTCTGTCCTGCCAAGCAGTCTGAGCTTGGATATAAAACATTAACAATCTGAGCTGATGAAGTGAACTGTACAGGGCATGTTCTGTATTGATCTCATACAACACTGTACACTAAGCGTTCTTTACTTGAGCACTGAAGTCAGTGATTCTGAAATGATTGAAGAGCTGTTTAGATACAGTGAGGATGACAATGTAGTTTCTGTGAAAAATTGCAATGGACGTACTGGAAGGTCTTCCTCATACTTAATTATCTTTATTATCAGAAGACTAGCTTACATCACGTTCAACTGTGAAAGGCAATTTTTTACAACTGCTAGATAATGAATTCACATTTATATAGCATCTTTTATAACCTTATATTGTCCCACTGTGTTTGACATTCAATTGAAATATTTTCACGTTATGACATAGGGTACACTTTGTGCTCCCTCAAACAACAATGTGAAAAAAACCAGGTTTTCCGTTTTTATTTGCTCATGGGATGAGGGTGTCGCTGGCTAGACCACCATTTCTTGTCTATCCCTATTTGCTCAGAGAGCAGTTGAGAGTGAACCACAATGCGGTTGGTCTGGAGTCGCACTTGGCCAGGCTAGGTAAGGATGGCAGATTTCCTTCCCTAAAGGCATTAGTGAACCAGATGGATTTTTAAAACAACTGACAGATGGTCACCATTCAGGTGGCTTTGTATTCAGATTTTTATTGAATTCAAATTCCACCATCTGCCGTAGTGGGATTTGAACACATGCCCAGATCTAGCAGCTCAAGACTTGGCATCCATAGGGTACCATGGGCCAACAGCAGCACAATCAGTAACTTGTGGCCCAGCATATCGTTCATGCTGCCATTACTATTAAGCCAGGGGATCAACTTGGTTCAATGGAGAGTGCAGGAGGGCATCCATGAGCAGCACCAGGCATACCTGAAACTGAAGTTTCAACCGGGTGAATCCACAAAACAGGACTACTTGTGTACCAAACACCATAAGCTGCAAGTGATATACAGCGTGAAGCAATTCTATAATCGTCTGATCAGATCAGCAGTCCTGCCACATTCAGTTGAGAATGACAGTGGGTAACCGAACAACTCACTGGAGGAGGATGCTCCACAAATCTCCCCATCTTCAATCATGCGGGAGCCCTTGTCAGTACAAAAGATAAGACTGAAAAATTTGCAACAGTCTTCAGCCAGAAGTGCCAAGTGGATAATCCATCTCCTGGATGTAGCCAGCATTACAGATGCCAGCATTCAGCTAATTCCATTCACTCCACATGATATCAAGAAATGATTGTAGGCACTGGATAGTGCAAAGGCTACAGGCCCTGACAACATTCAGGCAAAAGTACTTAAGACCTGTTCTCCAGAACCCACTGCATTGCTATGTTTTGTACGCAAAAAGCAGGACAAATTCAATGCAGCCAATTACTGCCTCATCAGTCTGCTCTCGATCACCAGTAGAATGTTGAAAGGTTTCGTCAACAATGCTATCACATGGCAGTCACTGATGCTCAGTTTAGGTCCTGCCAGGGCACTCAGCTCCTGAATTGCTTACAGTCTTGATTCAAACATGGACCAGAGGAGGCAATGTCCTAGTGGTATTATTGCTGGACTGTAAATCCAGAGACCTGGACCCAGGTTCGAAACCTGCCATGGCAGATGGTGGAATTTGAATTCAATAAAGTATCTGGAATTAAGAGTCTAATGATGCCCATGGATCCATTTTCCAGATTGCTGGAACAACCCATCTGGTTCACTAATGTCCTTTAGGGAAGGAAACTGCCAGCCTTACCTGGTCTGGCCTACATGTTACTCCAGACCCACAGTAAAGTGGTTGTCTCTGAACTGCCATCTGGGCAGTTAGGGATGGACAATAAATGCTGCCTAGCCAGTGACGTCCTTATCCTGTTAATGAATAAAAAAAAGCACTGAATTTCAGAGATGAGGTGAGAGTGGCAGCCTTTGACATCAAGGCTGCATTTTGCTCAAGTTTGGCATCAAGGAGCCCTGGCAAACCTGGAGTCAATTGGAATCGGGGCGGAGAACTAACATTTGCTGGAATCATACCTGGAACAAAGGAAGATGGTTATGGTTGTTGGACATCAGTCATTTCAGCTCCAGGACACCTCTGCGCGAGTTCCTCGGGGTAGTGTCTTAGGTACAGCTATCTTCAGCTGCTTTGTCATTGACCTTCCTTTCATCATAAGATCAGAAGTGGGGATGTTTGCTGACGATTGCACAATGTTCAGCACCATTGCGAAACTTTAGATACTGAAATAGTCCATGTCCAAATGCAGCATGACTTGGACAATTTCCGTGTGAGGGCTGATAAGTGGCAAGTGACATTTGTGCCACACATATGCCAGGCAGCATTGGAGGCAGTCCAAAGAAGTTGATTCTGGGTATGAAAGGATTTTCATATGAAG